GAAAGCAAATCAATCCTCTTATCTCCTTGCAGTGTGTGATGGTAAAGAATTATCACATCGATGTAATCAGATCATAAGATATTCAGAACCGTCAAAGGTTGGAAAGTCTAATTTAGTATGACGAGAAACAACCACATTACCTAGGTGATGGTTTGTGCCTTACGAACGACTACCCGCATGAAACACTTGGGGTGGTTGTTCACGCAGGTTACGACTACAGGCAGTTCCTTCCAAAACGGTTCATATGTTCTGACCAATTCCAACTAACATCTCATTGAATTGTGAGGATACCTCCTGCAATTGACTTCCTAAGCGTCTTTCGATTTCCGTTGTTCGTGCTTCATTTGCGGTGAGAGCTTCCTTTAACATCAATCATAAATCTTCCATTGTTGCAAAGTCATCCATCGTGTTAGGCTCTGATACCAATTTGTTATGTTCCCGAGACCAGGATCTTGTCACCGGCCGGTTATCTGAAATTTCCAATTTCATAATCTGCTTCTTCTCCTTGTTGCAATTTCTTGAGCGGCCTATGTTGTGAAAATAGATTGTAGTTCATTAAAAAGAACTGCTACCTTAGACCTCGTTAAAGAGACTCCAATATCGTACTTTAAAATAATATTATTACTTATTTTATTAATAGCAAGCATTCTCTGTTATATAGAAGTTACAATTCTTATTTACGAATGTTAATTTAATTTGAAATCAAAATCTAAATAGGAATACTCTATTAAAATATTAAAAATCCTACACTATTTAAAAATCAAATACTAACGGAAAATATATATATTATTTAGTGATCTAATACTAATTAGGATTCTAAATATTTAATTGAACGTTAATTTCTTATTTTTACTGTGTCCTACATATTTGCATCCATAACAGTTCAATTGCTACTTGCCGAGACTAAATAAGGTAATGTGGACTTGGAGCTGATCCGGACATCAATTATTGGGAAGCAGACAGTTTAAACAGCCTTCTCCTATGCCTTGTGTCATCTGATCTGTTCTACACTGTGAATTCCCTTTACCAGCCAAGATATTAAGGCTAGCTGGTTCCTTGGAAGCACTTCTTGCGGAAGAAGGCTACTCCTAGAATGACTCTTTCTTGCATGGGGGGCAACCTGAAAACATTCTCACAATTGATAATTTGAGGAGAAAAGAGAAAGCTCTAGCAAATGGGCGTTGTTTGCGCCAAGAACCATAAGAGTCATCAAAACACCTGTTGCTTTGGTGCCTGCTAGAACATCTTCTGTGGAACTCCACTCTTGATTTCCTTTACTTCTAAGTGGGTGATCACAAAAAAAAACCTAGTTACAATTTTTTTAATATTTAGGGAAAAAGTTAATAATTTTAAGAATTTCTACATGGGTTTGGACAGGAAAAATATGATGATCTCTGACTTGGGGGGGCACAAGAGAATGCGATCCCACTGGAAAAATATGATCTCTGACGGGAAAAATAATTTTATAATTTTTAGTTGAATAAGCCGAACAGCCTGTCTTTAAATCCAATGTTTACTTGCACACTATGTCAGATACCCCTAAACTTCCTAAGCAATTAAACATTTGCCAAGATGTCTTCATGCTAACCACAATAAGGAATATGAGAAAACATTCACTAATGAAGTACCATACTTCCAGACATAATATAGCGCACCTACTTCTACCAAGATCTTTAACCAGCAGCACAGGACACAAAAAGTGGTCTAGGTTCCCAAGAAGAGAAACTGAACTCCAAGTATCAATTCCTCTTATCAATGCCATAGTTGCGAGGGCCAAGATAGGCATATGATATACCATGTGAGAAGCACTACTTATTTTTTAATGCCATTAAAACTGA